TAGTCTTCTCACCTTGGCCTCCCAAAGTGCTACGATTACAGGCTGAGCCATCATGCCTGACCTGACTGCTTTCATGGAGAGCAGTGGTGTACAATGGCAGAATTGAGTAGTTGCAACAAACTATATGGCTGTCAAAGCCTTACAATATTTAGTGTTTGGCCCTTTACAGAAAGTTTGGTGTCCCCTGCTTTAGGCATTTATTTTTCAGAATAATTAAAAGTAAGGAAAAAATGTCATATTTACCTTCATTTTAATCACTTTGGAGATCTTCATTTCTGTAAATCCAGCTTTCCTTTTGATATCATATTTCTTCTTTCTGAAGAACTTCCTTTAGCATTTCTTGTAGTACATGCCTCAGCTTTTGCTTGTCTGGAAGAAAAGTCTTTGGTTTGCCTTCATTTTTTAATTTTAAAGATGGGGGTACAATTCAGGGTTAGATATACAAACGTTGATTATGCAGGTACGGTTTGCCTTTATTTTGATAGCTGTTTTTGCTGGGTTTATAGTTCTGGATTGATGTTTTTATTCTTTCAGTACTCTAAAGGGGTTCATTTCCTTTTTTTTTTCTTTTTTTCTTTTTTTTTTGAGTTGGAGTCTCACTCTGTCATCCAAACTAGAGTGCAGTGGCCGCTCCTGGCCACCGCAGCCTCGACCTGCTGGGCTCCAGCGATCCTTCCGCCTCAGCCTTCCAAGTAGCTCAAACTACAAGTGTGTGCTACCACGCCTGGCTAATTTTTTGATTTATTGTAGAGATGAGGTCTCGCCAAGTTGCCCAAGTGGGTCTCGAACCCGTCGGCTCAGGCAATCCACTCACCTCAGCCTCCCAAAGCGCAGGATTACAGGCTGAGCCACTGAGTCCGGCTTCATTTTCTTTTGGCTTTGCATTGTTTCTGGTGAGATGTCTGTTACATGTCTTTGTTTCTATGAATGCAATGTCTTTTTCTCTGGCTACTTTCGAGATTTTCTCTTTATCTTTGGTTTTCAGTAGTTTGAATGTATCTAGGTTTCCACGTTTTCATTGTGTCTTTTGGTATTTATCTTGATTGGTATTTTCTGGGCTTGAATCTGCCATTTAATGTATTTCATTATTTTTGGAAAATTTTCAAACTTTATCTTTTCACAATTTCTTCAGACCCATTATCTCTCTATGCTCTTCCTGAGATTCCAATTATTTACATAATTAGACTATTTGATATTGCCCACAGCTCTTGGATGCTCTATTCTGCTTTTGTTTTTTAACTCTTCTTTTTTTGTTTAGTTTGTATAATTTTGACTGATGTAGTTCTGAATTTTGGGGGAGTCTGTGTTGAGTTTACTGATAAAACTGGCAAAAGCATTCTTCATCTGTTGCTATGTTCATTTATTTCTAGCATTGCCATGTACGTTTTATAGTTTCCATCTCTGCAGAAATTCACCATCATTCATGCATGTACCTTTTCTACTAGAGATTTTAGCAATGCATTAATCATAATCATCTCAAATTTCCTTTCTGATAATTTCAAAACCTCAGTCGTCTCAGAGTCTGGTTTTATTGATTACTTTGTCTCATCATGGTGGGTTGGTTTTTCGTGTGTGTGTGGTGGCAATTTTGTATTGATTCTAAGTGCTAGATGACATGTATAGAATAGGTGAGAATGCCAGAAGTGGCACATCTCTTCTTCTAAGTTTTCACTGTAGGGGTTGAGTCAATCTAGTCAGGAGTTGAGCTGTGTTTGGGTTTTGTTGTTATGGATACCTTTAGTGCATCTTAAACTTCAGATTCCTGTGCTGCTACCTTGTGTTTAGGGGGGGATGCTAGGTTGTCCTAGTGGTTTTTTTTAATGTTCTTGTTCTATGCTCAACTTCTCTCTTTGCCCTTGCGTCTTATAGTGGGTCTCTCTCTAAGCCCTAGTCCCTCCTGCAGCAGTAGACTGCTGTTGCTTGTTACTCTATACTTGCTAGCCTGGTGGTAAGGGCCAGGAAGCGGGTATTCTTTGTTGCCGTAGTTCATCCTCTCTCTGGCTTAGGCAAGCCATATGTCCCTGGGTCTCCTGGCTAGTAGCATTTTCTTAGTGATTCTGTTCCTTTCCCGGCTGAAGGAAACTCTTTTTTTCTTTTTTTTCTTTTGAGTTAGAGTCTCACTCTGTTGCCCAGACTGGAGTGCAGTAGCCGCTCCCGGCTACCGCAGCCTTGACTAGGCTCTGGTGATCCTTCCGCCTCAGCCTTCCGAGTAGCTGGAATTACAGGCACGCGCTACCATGCCCGGCTGATTTTTTATTTATTGTAGAGATGAGGTCTTGCCAAGTTGCCCAGGCGGGTCTTGAACCCACGGGCTCAGGCAATCCTCTCACCTCAGCCTCCCAAAGCGCTGGGATTACAGGCTGAGACACCAAGCCTGGCCAGATTTTTTTTTCTATAAGGGAGAAAGGTCTCAGCAGGGGTCTGTGCTTTTCTTAGAGTGGTAGCTATTCCCCTTCCCTACACCTGTAACACTGTCCTCCCTCCAGTCTTTCTTATGCCGCTTTCTACTTCCTTAGGAAGTCTGTGGAGAAGAGCCTGCACATGGGTATGAACTCCCCTCGTATTTGTTGCTTCCAGGGGGTCTGTACTGTCATGCTGGTCCATATTTGGCTTTTAGAAATTTGCTTAAAATTTTAGCTGAATTCTTCTTAGCTATCTCTGTGGGGCTCAGTGTCATCTTCCCCTCATGCTTTGCCAGTGCTGATGTCTTGTCTCTTCTTAAAAGCACCTGTCTTTCCTTAGATTTCATCCAGGCCACTTGGTCTTTCTACAACCTCAGTTCTCTGGTGGCTTCAGGGAAAGTTATGATTTGGTATTTTATCTAGTCTTTTCTCATTGTTCTGGTTGGGAGATCCTCTTTTCATATTTCTGCATCTTAGTTAAAAGTCAAATTACAGTGTTATATAGTCACTTGAAATAGTTATCTTTGTGGTGGTGTATTTAATTCAATATATGGTAAGTTCATTTGTTTGATTTTTCTCAGGGAGTTCTTCCTTTAAACTCTAATTTTGTTTCATAACTATATGAACTATTTATATGATTTCAAATCATATATGCAGAATAACATATATTCAAAGAAACCTAACTTCTCTCCCTGTCTGTTTCAGCCTATTCCCTTCTTTCCTCTATAGGAAAACTTTAAAACAACATAAAACTTATTTATTTATTTAAAAACAATTTTTTTTTTTTTGTGAGTTGGAGTCTCACTCTGTCGCCCAGACTGGAGTGCAGTGGCCGCTCCCGGCCGACCGCAGCCTCGACCTGCTGGGCTCCGGTGATCCTTCCGCCTCAGCCTTCCAAGTAGCCGGAATTACAGGCATGCGCTA